ATATGTATATATATATATATAAAACCGCAGCGAGAAGGGTAATAGGCGTTTGTACAAGTGGAGTTAGTCGCATCTGAATACGTGTATAGCACGGTACTTTCTCACACGACAGGCGTGTGGGTGTTGTATCTATCTATGTATCTCACACCCGCTATTCGACCACTAAACCAGGCGTGGTGCTAAAGGAGTACACATACGGCGGCACGCCCGCAGTGGACTCGCTGGATATCTACGTCAAAGGCACAGGGGAAGTGCAGGTGGTCACACTGCTTCAGTTCATACCCTTGGTGCTTAATACGGAACCCATCTCGCGTGGGGTAAGCGTTGAGAAAATCATTCAACGCGTTAATACAACCAATGGGAAGCCCTATGGACCATCTATCGGCCCCGATGAGATCATCGAGGTCGGCGAAATTGTTCAGATTACACTGCAGGTATGTTTGGCTCGGGTCTTTGTCTGTGGGTGGATAAAATCTATCTACAACCAAGAATCAACGATCCGCTCATATATATAATATATTTATTTGCAGCATGCTATCACCTGTTCAAGTACTGTGTAGTTTGATTATGTACTTGTACTATATGATTTTGGCCAGTTGAATTAGATCATCGACTTAATTCTTAATTCTTTGCTTTTCTCGCCAATACCTAATTGGAACCGAACCGAACCGTACCGTACCTACTCCGCCCGCAATGTACCGAAATGACTTTAAAGATTGTGGCACCTGACGATATGACCAATGTGGCTGTTGTGGATGGAAGTGCCGGTGGAATAGAGGCACAGGCCTTTGTGACAACGATATCGCCACGTAAGTGCTACACAAATGCTACGAAACACGCTTTATATCTTGTTGCTGAAGGTTTCATTCACAACTATGCATACTGGCGTGGTTGATAACAAGTGGAACCAATAGATCTGTACGATCGTGCATTGGGTTTAGCTTTAGAGTGGTGTTTGTTTCAGGAGAAGCCATGTGCGCGCTTGACAGTTTAGTGTTCGTGTCTACTAGTCCTCGTTCGGTACGTATTTAACATGACCATCACTATGATGGTCATTTCTCTCCTTTACTCAGTCGTCGTACACCGCATTCCTATTGGTGCAATGTATACGTTCGAGCATACAGTATTTGCGACTTCCGGCGATACTGCAAGACACACAAGTTTTCCTAGTGGTGTCTGAGGACTTGCACGGTTCCCGAGTGCCCTACTTCAGCAGTCTCGTTACGTTCGTCCCTTGCGACTGATACCGCTCACGCACTACATATACATGTGCTTATCTGTCCGTCTTAGACTTCCTGTGCAAGTCGTTTCAATAGCCCTGCAATCTCCTATTTCACAGAAAGTGGAGTCGTCACTCTTTTGCAGGTCATCTGTGTGTACGAGTACTCTGCCAAACGGTACAATGTCCCTTGTATTAAATTTGATGTATGTAGCCGTTGTTGTCGGTGTTTGTTATAGTTTCCTCCTCCGTAGGGTGATACGATCTAGTCAGCATTTGCGCACAACTCAAACGTTCGCTTGCCGCTGATTCCTACTCAGTTGACATCATGCAATAACAGTCCCGATTGGAGAGGGGTGTTGCATTGTTGTTTCACGGTACTGCTTACTCGTGCCATTCCTCGCACTCATACTTCTTCCTTGCACGCTCTTACAGTCATCTCTCGCCGGCGTCGGCAAGCTTTCGCGTCCATCGGAATCAGTCCCATTTCATCCGGCCCCTCCTTCACATCGTACTTTTGGAACCCGTTCGAGTACCGTGAGATGGGCAGATTTGGGGTCCGATACTACGCATCCAGTCTTCGCGCCGGAACATACACCCTGGCACATACAGCGCTGTGTGTGACTGAGGGAGCCTTCTCGCTACCCCCTACGCACGTGTACAGCGAGCCTCAACCGGATATTATGGGTCTGAGTGCTGGGGCATGGCTGGTATGTTTGCTTGACATCAGATCCGAGACTAGTTTTGAGTGTGCATCTACATGGATGTCATATGTGTATGTTCTGTGCTCGAATAGGCCTTGTCGTTATTTTATCGATGTCTTAGTCCCTTCTGTCATGGTATTGGTTGTTTGCCTACTACTCGATACCATGCAGTGATAAGTTGCCCTTTTCGCCGTCGATTTTTCAATTGCTTTAGCTCTGTGGCGTATAGACGCATAATATGATATGCTATGGATATTTTATATCCGTTATCTGAAGCTACGCACTTGGTGACCCTGTTTGATAGTACTGCTGGCAGTCGCATGAATCTTGAAAGGCCTTTTCTGGTCGATATACAACCCTTTTCATTTGCACCGACATGTGCGTGTCTGGCCGTGCTTGCTAGCAAATGAACGTAGCATGATTAATATCAAATGTTATCGTTTGAGTTATTACTCGAATTTTTAATGGCTTCACCTGCTACCTGCAATTGCGTATGATCACTCGCCTCCTACATCTGAGACTGTATGTAAGCGTTTTGATTGTGGCTGGTTGTTTTATGTGCTGTGTAGTTGTATGTTCTTGCACAACAGGTTTTTACAACTATTAGTTCGTTCTATTACTTTCTCTTCGAGCAAGGCCTTGTTATCTTTCATTGCCCTCACGCCGCAGTCCGACACTTTGAATATTGCGATGTGCAACTTAGGTGACCTCCGAGAGTATGAAGGACGTTGATCCAGACAGAGCAATCACCGCAGCTGTAAATCAGCGATTGCAGACGGCAGGTGCCGATAACGAGAACGCGTGACTCCCCGCACCCACAACCACCCAGATTTATACGTACAAGATCAAAAACGCGTTTAGATACAAATGGAAATACAATGTGGTACTTGGTAATTCCGGAAAAGTAGCCATCGTTATCTTCTCCGTCCTGGGACTTCTGGGAATGGTATTTGGGCTCGCGTTTGCAAGTTACTTCATAGTGAAGGGAGCTATGTACCGACGAGCAGGTAACAATGGTAGGTCTGGTCACAATGCTTTTCAGGATAGTAGCTACGGACACAACACTGAAGAAGACGTATTAACCGGTGAAATTGGTAGTGAGATGGTATGTATTGCACTAGGACATTCAAGAGATGTACATGAACACAGCCAATGAAATTTACGAGGCTCCCGTGAAGATTGAAGATGGCAGATGAGGCGGATATCAGTGAATGCAACTCAAGAACGTATGAGAATAAATTACATTAAGCTGACTATCGATTTTGGAGAACTGACTCTGTTTCATTATGTATCTATATATATAGATATCTATATATATATACAGATATGCATATATATATATATATATATTTACATATAGACATATATATATTTATATATATCTATATATATCTATATATATATATATATATATATATATATATACTATATATATATATATATATATATATGTTATAAATATATATATATATGTATATATATATATATGTATGTATATGTATGTACGTGTGTATGTATGTATGTATGTATGTATACACACATATATATATATATATATGTATGTATTGATATATGTACGTATATATATATATGGACGTATATATATATAGATATATTATTATATACG